AAAAAAAAAAAAAAAAAAAAAAGGACTTCTAGAACTGCTTCAGAAAGTGGCAAGCATGGTGGAGGATTAAAGGCAATGTGACTTCTACTGTAATACATTTAAAAAATTTAAACATTAACCATATTTTGTAAAAAGTCACGGTGCTATATCTTTGTGGTCACAGTCTGTGCGACTTTCAAGATTCCCCAACTATAAAATCACCTATCACATGGAGAAGCTTCAAGACAGAGTTCCCATCTGTCTGAAGCCTTTAAACACACAATTCTATGACTTGATTGTAATGGACGACTGTGTAGTAATAGTGGAATGAGTGACCCTGTGTTCTACCACAGTCCTGACTCCCACCGCGAGCATGACAGGCCCCCTATCTCCGCCATGGACACGTTAGCACAGGAGTCTAGGCCAGTGGGTAGAGACACCAAAGAAACGTCAGTGGCTAAAATTCTGGGCAGGTCCCCACCTTGGGGCCCACACTGGACATGGGCTGGGAGGCCAGGGAGAAAGAGCTAATTCAGGGCTGTTTGTCCCCCCACCGCCTACCCAACCAGGAATCAAAGTCAGAACTTTGAGTTTGCCAGGCAGGCGCGTTGCCTTTTTTTTTTGTATTGGGAATCAAACTCAGGGCCTCCCACTTGCCAGGCAGACACTGCACCACTGAGCTACATCCCCAGCCCATTTCAGGCTGTTCCTTAAGATGCCCTGGGGTAGGCTCACAGAACAGTCTGTCACACAGAAGTAGGTCCAAGACTGGGAGGAGCTGATCAGAGGAAGGGTTGGGGCCAAGAGCCATGCTCGAAGCGGAGAGAGGCTAACGTTCACCCAGGCCTGCTTTACTTCAGAGACTGTGAGCTCCTGCAGGGCAGGCACCACATCTGCCTTGCTCACCAGTGGATCCTCAGCGCCCAGCCTCAAGATGCTTATTGTATAAACGACTCCCAAGAGAAAAGAGCACCGTACCTGTCCCGCCGGTGGCATGGAGCATTTTCAAGTGATCCACTGTCATCTGCAAGACCTCTGCTTTCTCCAGCTTGGAAGAGCCCTGTGGCACAGAAGGCAGAGTGTGCAGCCTCCAGCTTACCTCACCTGCTGGTTGTCACAAGCTTCCCCATCTGCATTCTCACCCTCCTCCTACTGCCCGACGCCTCCAGATCTGAGAGATACTTTGGTTCTCATCTCAGTCCACCTGTCCGCCGCACTGCTGGGCTTCCCTCCTGAAAGCCCTGCCGTGATGCCACTTCTGTGTTTTCCTTTCCCCTTGCCTCTTCCTTTTCCTTAAAAACAGCGCTGCTCCGTAGGTGCTGGCCCACCTCTCTCCTTGCTCCGCATGCTCACCCAGATATGGCTTCTTTCTCGTAGCATCTCTGTCTTTTTGGGGGGGTTGGTACTGGGGACCTTGCCCTTGTTCTGCAGGTGGTGGCACCACTGAGCTAAATCTCTGGCCCGACGTGGCATCTCTTCCTGATCGTGCTGGCTGCTGAGGTGTCACCTCCTCCTGGACCGGCTCTCCTGGGAATCCAACTTCTTCCCCAGTGGGCCCGAGACCTAGTTCATCAGTGCAGCCCCAAAGCCTATGCTCTTCCCTTGTTTCTCTTGTGAAAGGTTTCCTAGGCCTCCAGGACCACCAGGCCTCCCAGGGGAAGCCTCAGAGCCACACTTTCCACCAAAGCCCCTTGAGGGCAGACAACAGGTCTAGTTCAAGGTTGGTCCTGTGAAGGTTTTAACATCAATGGACTGACTGACTTGTTCTCCCTGTCTAAGGGAAGGCATAAGACCTGCGACCCTGGAGGCAAAGGGTAAGAATCTTTTTTAAAAAAAATTATTTTTGGTACCAGGGATCAAACTTGGGACCTTGTGCTTGCAAGGCGGGCAGTGGCACCACTGAACTAAATCCCCGGCCCAGGGTAAGAATCTTTGAGGCTGCCTCACTCAACCATTTGATGCCCCCAGTATAATCTCCCCACCGCAACACCCCAACATATTCAGTGACAGAGCGCTTTCTCCCTGAGCAGCCTGTTCCACTTTCAAATGGCTCTGGGAACATCAGGAGATATGTCACACAGTCTTGTGCTCCAATCATGCCCTGCTAGTTACTAGCTGTGTGATTCGGTGTAGTTGATAGCACTTCTGACTCTTTCATTTTCCTTACCTTCAATGGGCAGAACCTCTCTACTTCAGGGTCATAGTTCGAATTCAGCTCCAACGGACACGTGTCAGACATAAAGCTATGACACCTGAGACGTCTAAGTATGAATTTCCATTTTCCTTGTCCCCTGTCCAGTGACAGACGGCACCTCAGCAGCCACTGCCCACCCGTGAGGGATGCCACGAGAAACAAGCCATCCCTGTCACCCACTCAGGACTTCTTATGGCACGACTGGCAATACCTGTTTCTCAAAGGCAGTGGGCACCAAGTGCCGCAGTTCAGAAAGGCTGCTGTTGATGCGGTCTCGGCGCCTTTTCTCTATGATCTGAAAAACAACGACAAAAAAGTTACCCAAAAGCACTTCATCAGGGCCCAGATGGACACTGACTTGTATTTGCCCACACTGTATTTTGTCATGAGGCAGCTAAATCTATTCTTACTTTAGGGAAGAAGAAACTGAGGCTCAGCAAGGAACAAAAAATGTGCTTAAGGTCACACAGCAAGAAAGCGCAGGGATGGGAGAACTCAGATCTCTTGTCTCGGCCTGTAGGATGATATTCAAAACGCTTAACCACTAGTTCAGCAGGGCGCCATCTGATCAGAATGGCGACACCAGCCGCACCACCAGCACGTGCCCTGGTTACCCCTTCAGCCGTTGGTCTGAGAGTCCTAGGTAGAAAGCTGGGGCTGGATAAATGGACAGCAGCAATCAGCTGGACATGGGGGCACAGGCCTGTAATCACACCCAGTATTTTGGGAGGCTGAGGCAGCAGGATCAAAATTTTGTACAAGCAAGTTAGTGACTTAATGAGACATTGTCACAGGGATTTAGCTCAGTGGTGCTGTGGCCTGCCTTGCAAGTGCAAGGTCCTGAGTTCGATCCCCAGTACCAAAGGCGGGGCGGGGGGGATGAGACATTGTCTCAAAATAAAAAATATAAACAGGCTTGATATGTAGCTCATTGTGAAGGCTCTGAGTTCAATCCCCATTATGGTGCAGAAAAAGAAAAGAAAAAGATGGAGAGAAATAAGCAGGGAACCTCTTTCATTTGCTTTCCCTTCCTTAGACCAAAGGAAAGTTTTTTACATTTAGAAAAGAGATAGAAGATAAGGTAGAGCGGGAAGCTGGACAAAAGTAATAAGGCTACTGTGTGTTGGGTTTTGCTCAGAAAGCGTTGCATTGACTCATTTCAGCATGCCGTAGGTTCAGTTCGGTTTGGTTCAGTTTGGTGGTAACTCCAGTTATACCAAGAGAAATCAAGGCTCAGACTGGCTATGTGCTTTGCCCTAAGTCATCCAGATAGACATCAGCAGAGTCAGCAGGTAGGTAGCTTGGGGTGATGTTTCTGATCTGGTTCCTGGCCAGGTCCCAGGGTACTCAGGGCAAACTTGAGTTGGGCCACTCAAAGGCTGAGGCGGACACTCACCCCTCTGCGTTTCTTCCTGGCTTGCATCTGCGCAGGGCTGGGGGTGGACAGCGGCCTGGCCATCTGGCTGGAGAGGAAGAGAAAGGCTGGTTTCTCAGAGCTGGGGGCCGCATCCCTGGCCTGGGCTGACCTGGGAAGCCGAGCTGTGGGAGGCACTGTCTGGGCGGCTTCGAGGCCCTGGCTGTGCAGCGCTGCGGGGCTGCAGTGGGAAGGGCGCCTGCTCCCACTTTCTCCCTGGGGCCCATTTCTGCAAGGGCTACGTCCTCCCATCACCTCGAGGCTCCAGTCCCAGCCTTGCGGCGCCCTGGGGTCCGATCTTGGCACGGACCTGTCTTGCACGCCTGGCCCCGGGCCCCTTGCGGTGGCGGCCATGGAGCAACCAAGAACTGCAGCGAGGCCCTCGGGTCCTGCAACCCGATCCAGGGGGGCGGGCGG